CCTTGTGACTTTTCCCTTTAAAAACTGAGCTTGCAGACAGGTGGGCACTTCCTCAAGCCTCCACTGCGTTGGATGTATTGGACGAAGTCCCTGCCTAGGCTTGTATTGCTTTTGGATATCCAGAATTAAACCTTGCTTTTGCATTCCGGCATGCTCGTCTTTGGTGGTCTCTCTGGGAGTCACGATCTGGGCACAACAGTAACTCTGATTTTACTTTTTTAATAAGCTTCCATATTAGTTTTGCAAATTGGCTACCCCCAATTTCCAACAATAGTGTTCAAGGGGTTCTTTTTCTTCATAACCTTCTCAACATTTAATATCTTTTGGGTTTTGAATCTAAGCAGACTGTAATAGTTTTCACTGTGGGTTTGATTTGCATTTCCCAGATAGCACTGGATACTTTTTTGTATTCTTGATGACCATTGGCATGTCTTCTTTAGGTTCCTGAGGGTGATTAGTTGGTTAGTTTGGCTTGTTATTTTCCTATTTTGAATTTTTTTATATATTTTAGGTATTAACATTTTATCAGATACATATTTGCAAATTTTTCCCACCCCATAGGTTGCCTTCTCGCTATGCTAATCATTTTCTTTGCTATGCAGAAGCTTTTCAATTTGATAAAGACCCATCCATGTCCTGTTGCCTCTCTGGCCTGTGTTTCTGTCATCACATTCATAAAATCACAGCCAAAACTCCCCTTGTGTTTGCCTCTAATAGTTTCATGACTGCAAGTCTTGCAATAATGTTTTTACTTTTAGTTGAGTTTTGCTTATAATGTTACATGAGGGTCCAATTCCATACTTCTGGGTGTGGGTGTTCAATTTCACAGCTATTGAAGAGTCTATTCTTCCCCTGTTCTGCATTCTTAGCACTCTTGTTGAATATCAGTTGACCTCAGATTGCATGCATTTATTTCTGGTCCCTCTATTCTGGCCATTGGTCTGTACTGGTTTGGCTTTATGCCAGTGTCATTACAGGCTTGATTACTGTATTTCTGTAATCAATTTCGAAATCAAGAAGTATCATGCCTCCAGCTTTGTTCTTCTTATTCAGAATAGCTTTGGTTATTAGAGATCTCTTGTGCTTCCACACAAATTTTAGGATTGTTTTTTCTATTTCTGAAAAAAAAAATTGAATTTTGATAGTGATTGTATTAAATCTGTGGGTCATTTGAGTGGCATGAACATTCTAAATAATAACTATTCCAACCCTCAAACAAGGACTAGCTTTTCAGGTGGGTTTGCTTTCATTTATGTTTCATTTATGTTTCATAATTTTGCGGTGTGGTGGTTATCTGCATCCTTGATTAAAAATATCTCTAAGTGTTTTATTGTTCTGGATGTCCATGAGATTGTTTTCCTGGTTTCCACTTTAGTTTGTTAACGTGTATCAGTGCAGTTGACATTGCTATGCTGAATTTGTGTCCTACACCTCAAAACTCTCCTTTTTCTAACCTCTTTCTCCCTAGAGAATTTCTATTTATCAGCAGCACCATAAAGGTCACCTTGTTCAGAGAACCTCTCCTACAAAAGCTAGTGACCTCATAACTTAGAACATTTGTAAAGTTCTGTCTCAGTTTGCTTTTCATTGCTGTTATAAAACACTAACCAAAAGCAACTCAGGGAGGAAAGGGTTTATTTCATCTTACACTTCCAAGTGACAGTCCGTCTTTCAGGGCAACTAAGGCAAGAACATGAAGGCAGGAACTGAAGCAGAGATCATAGAACATTCCTTACTGGCTTGCTTTCTCTAGTTTTTTTCAGCTACCTTCCTTATACAGCCTAACACCACCTACGTAGGGATGGTTACCACCCACAGTGGACTGAACACTCCTACATCAATTACAATTGGGGAAAATGCCCCACAGGTATGCTCATAGGTCAATCTAATGGAAGCAATTCCTCAAATGAGGTTCTCTCTTCTCAAGTAACTCTAGTTTGTGTCAAGTTGACGAAACTGACCAGCACAGTACTTAGCACAGTCCCATCATAAGTATCCAATAAGTTGGTAATGCTGTATTGTTTGTTGGAGTTATAATTTGGTAATGATTTTCTAAAATTTTTTAAATTATTTATTGTGTATGTGTCCATGTGTACGTGCATGCATGCTGAGGTCAGAAGACAACTTGAAGGAGTTTGTTCTCTCCTTCCAGCATGTGGATCCCTGGAACCAAACTTAAGTCTTCAGGCTTGACAGCAAATATCTTCATCCTCTAAGCTACCTTACCAGCCCCACTGAGTACATTTTTTTGAAAGATTAATTTCTTTTTATGTGTGTGAGTGTTCCATCTGAATGTATTTATATATACCACATGCATGCAGTGCCCAAGGAGACCAAAAGCAAGCATCAGATCCCCTGGAACTATAGTTACCATTGTGAGGTGTCATGTGGGTGCTGGGAACTGAGCCACAGTCCTCTGCAGGAGCAGCCAATGTTCTAACCACTGAGCAACCTCTCCAGCCCTGTGAGCAGTTTTAAATGTGATCTCATTACCATTCTCATTTGCATGTCTATCATCTTAACTCTAATGTCAAAAAGAGTAACAACTACTGTTCCAAACAGCTCTGCTTCAGTCCTCCTTGCTTTTGCTCAGTGACAGATGCAAATAATCTTGAAAGACTCAGGTTCTGGACAATGGCTGAACTGTGATTACTAGAGAATAAGGTCAAACAGACTTAACCGGGCTGCTCCAAGAAGCCAAATTTGCAAAGCAGTGACTCGAGTCATCTGGACCCTGTTCTCTTAACTATTACTAAGGCATATCCACCCCTTCTTCTTATAGCACATGCTAAGAACTGGAGGTCTGAAACACAGTACACTACTCAGTCAAATTTTAGAGGGGGCTATATACTTCTTTCAACCCACAGTACCAGCAAATGACTGCTCTCAGCAGAATCTTAGCAAAGCCATGCAAGGCGACGACAGACAGTATTTTGTCTTTGCTGACATCTTTGTGACTGTTTCACTCCAGAAATCTCAAAATGTGTCTGCCCATAACATCTGGATTTTTAGATTTATGGAAAGAGGAGCAGATGCATGTGGGTTGGGTGCACAGGGGTTGGGCATACATGTGCCTGTGGAAGCCAGAGATCAACTCCGGGTATCAATTTTTCAGGAGTCACTCACCTTGTCTTTTGATCTCTCTCTCTTGGGGATCTGGAACTCATCAACTGGGCTAGGCTGGCTGGTTAACAAGCCCCAGGGATCTGCCTGTCCCCACCTCCTAAGAGCTGTACCTAGCTTTTTCTGTGTACCCTGGGGATTGACCTCAGGCCCTTGTGCTTGCAAGGCAAACCCTTCAATGACAAAGCTCCCAGTCCGTTGACTTGCATTTTGCACAAAGAAAGTTTTCAGTGGACCCTGGGTGGTGTGAAGCTCCCCCTGAAGACAGCACATTCTGAAGATTTCCTGGGTGCTCTCTACATAGAGAAAGAATATTCAATTTCTGCCCAAGGAAATTTTACTGCCTTGCCCTATAGCTTCCCATCAAATCTAAAGCCAGTTTTGGGGGCTTATTCTTAAGAAGGACTGATGCTATATCAGAAACATATAGGCAACAGGAGTATAAAGTCAATGGCAAACACATAATCAGTGTTTCATAATATTTTTAGAACAGGGAGCTATGTAAGGTCTGCTCTATGTAATTTCTTTCCCAGACCTCATAAATAAACAATGATTCTTTTTCCCCATGCTCGATTGATTTATATGGAGATCTTTAAGTGGAGTGTTTCCATCCATTACTAATACTTTGTGTACCTCACTGTAATGAGTGAACACAGCTCCAGTATGGCTGTATAACATATTAATAACGCATCAACATAATTTAAAACAACAACCCTTTCACTTTCCACAAACAATCACTGCATAAGAAACATAGTAAATTATGGGTGAGAGACTGGCATTCAACTACAGAGAGCCAGAAATCGAGACTTGTAATAAGAGAGACAGCTGAACATGAAGATGAATTGTAGTTGAATTTCTAAACAGTCTTATTAAATAAGAAACACAGAGCCAAATGCAGAGGTAACAGCCCAAGAGATCAGAGAACTAGTGAAGAGCCACGACTGCCTTATCTTACCACCTCACCACTGCTGTTGCTTCCCCACAGAGAGCTTCTTCTTATGTAACCTGTTTTTTTATTGCCTTTCTGTTCTGCTTTCTCATTGGTTCTAAGCCCAGCCACATGACTTCCTCGTCACATACAGACCTCCAGGTCTTTATGGTTGGTACCGAGATTAAAGGCTTGTGTCACCATGCTTGGCTGTGTCCTTGACCACACAGAGACTCTGCCTGCCATGTGATGGGACTAAGGGCATGGTCTACCACCACAGGACTTCTGCTTATGGCTCACTATGTGACCTCTGATCTCCAGGCAAACTTCATTCACTTATTAACATACAAATAAAATCACATTTCAGCACAATTAAAATATCACCACAACGAATTGACCACTAGAGTCAGAGTCTCAAGGCCATTGCTGACCAACCAGCCTGAGGAACCATCCTGCTCCCAATTCCTCACACTGGCAATGGGAGTCAGCTTTCCTTCACATTGCAGAATACAGATCCATCACCACAGTCACGGGACAGAACCTCATGTAGGAGGCCAGCAGGTCCATTTTCCAGACCTGACACGTTGAGCTGATGTGCAGCCTTATGGGAAATTAGACAGGAGTTCTTCACCAGAACAGAATTAACCCTGGTCATTTAATATTTCATGCCATCTCATGGCTCCCTAACAAGAACAAATGGCTATGGCTGAAACAAGGCTAATTTTTCCTGAGTGGGATTTAATGATTACGATGGCAGGGCTGAGCATTTCAGGAAACATCTTACCTGCAGCTACAATGCAGTGGCATTGTATTTATCCTACAGTAGGAAGAATTGATGGCCCTGCTTTCCTAGTTTGGAAACATGAGAAAATTAGCTATTATCCATGCTTAAAATGAAACATAATTCAATGGGAAGAAACATGATTTCCCTGCTGGAGAGCAGGGTATAAGAGCAGGGGCTGCTTTTGTTAATGTGGGATGGCTACCTTTCTGGGTTTTCATTTTCTGCAGGCTCAGTTCAGCTGTGCTGTGATCTGCCAGATGAACATCTGTTTTATGAGCTCACTCTGACAATCCCTTCTCCTCATCTTTCAGATGATGAACTGCTTCTGCATTGTGATGGATGAACCTCAGAGCTCTCGAATGAGCCTGTCTGGATAGAGAGCTCAGCATTTCAGATGTAGTTGGTAGGATTTCTCCTGGGCATGTAGCCTTCCAAATAAAGTAGAGCAACATGTGCTCCATTTATATGGAAGATGGACAAGAAGAATGGGTCACACTGAGAGGTATGAACTGCTCTATAAATGACTAGCTCATCACCAAAAGCTCATTCTTTTTTTTTTTTTCCCACAGAATGTGAACTTATTTCCTGGAACATCAATTCATCCAAAAGCCGGGTACCTCAATGTCCCTCACAGCAAGGTGTGGTCACATGACCTGTACTCATCAACTGAACTTGATAGAAATGCTGTACACTTCTTTGGTGCGAAGTCTGTAAGACGGGATGTGCCTTGTCTGTTTTCCACCCCTCTGGACAGCAAACAAAGGGTTCTGAACACTAAGAAGAAAACAGCCTACAAACTGCAGGGAGCCTGAGTCCCTGAACAACCTAGTAGGATGCTCATTGATGAAGCTCTTCTTATGAGCAAGGAATAAATCTCCCATAAGTGAAGCCCCTGAGACACTCAGGAACATCAGCCACAGGAGCTAACACTAGTCTGATTGGCACACACATCAAAACTGGATGACAAAATAGTTTGGCTCAAGTGATGCAGAACAGACCTGTAGTTATCCACCTTTCAAATGACCATCTTCCTTGCCTTGCTGCTCTTACGATGCCTTTACCAGTCTTTGGTTTGTTTATTTGTTTTTACTATTGAGACAGGGTTTCACATAGCTCAGGCCAGTCTCAAACTAACATTGTAGCTGAAAATGACCCTGAATTTCTTATTCTCTTGCCTTCACTTCCAAAGTACTGGGATTATAAGAATGAGCCACCACATCTGGTTTATATGGTATAGAGACTCACACCCAGGGCCTCATACATACTAGGAAGCACTTCAGCAAACTAGCCACATCCCTAGCTTTCTGGCATTCTTAACAAGTCTACACATTGCTGAAGGCACATGTTCATGGTCAGCCATCTTTATGAACACAGCTGATGGCACATATTCATTGCCAGCTCTCTTTCTGAGTACTTTCAAAATTTGAGTTGATTATATGATATCCTCCTGTACATTCCGATCCCAATATTCTCTAAGCCTCAGCTCAGTAGCAGGTTTTTAGGGAAGCTAGCCTGTTCCAGAACATCACAGAAATGAAATTAGCCAATATTTTTTGTTGTTGTACAGAGGAGCAATTTTGTTTTTGTTGCTGGGTAGTGTTCCTTTGGGTACACATAGTCACCTGTCTTTTCACACATTGATGGGCATTTGTGTTGTTACAGTTTGTGGCTGTTATGAATAAAACTTCTATGAAAATTCTTGCATACATCCATGTTCATTTTTCTTGGGCAAAACCTAAAAATGGAATTGTTGGGTCATAGGCTATGCCATTAACTTTTAAAGAAATCACCAAACTAATAAAGTCTATGTACTTTATTTTGGTCACATCAGGTTAAGAGAATTCCAGTAGCCCTCATGTTCTCACTAGCTAAGATCACTGGTCATTCTAGAAGGGACAATGACATCTCATTCTTACTGTTATTTTCATCTGGTAGCTGATGGTGCTTGAGTTTTCTCCATGTTCATTAGCCACTCACATAGCATCTGTACAAGCTGAAACATTTCACCTGATTCCCTTTAAATAAATGAGAAGAGGAAGGAAATAAAGAAATAAGGGACAGAGAAGGAAAGGAATGGAAGAGGAAAGAAAGGAAAAGAAGGGAAGGTAGGAAGGAGAGAACAGGGAAAGGGAGAGAAATGAGAGGGGAGGGGATAAGGGAGGGCAGGGGTTTATTAGCACAGCAATTCTGCAAGAGTCTCCCACAGTTTCCCATAGGATTAAAACTGAACTGGATCCAGACATCTAAGTGCAGCTTTAAATGGGGACCCTACCAAGGGGACTTCTTGTTGTTGATGTTGGTTCGGTTGTTTGGCTACGCAGACCTAGAAGTTACCCTACATCTATCTGAATGCCAGAAATACTAAAAAGACACACAAGGACAAGCCAGATGGAGAATGAGTATCCCTTATAGGAAGCAACACCGGCAGGTGAAAGGAGTTACTAACCTGCTGGGGTTCGATGACTCCCAAGTGGGCAATGACATCAGCATCTGCAACAATCTCAGGTGGCCTGGTGGCTAACCAAGAAGAGAGAACTGTAGCACCACATTCAGGGAAGTAGCCATTTTCTCATATGACCACTAGAGCTAACAGCACCTAACTATCAGGGGACTGAAACAACATACATTTAAGACGACATGAGGGCTGTTGGGTGTTTTTAAACTTGGCATGAAGCTCCAAAGTACAATCTTTTTTAGAAGGAAGCAAACTGAGCGCACAGCCATCCGAGGGCTCAGTTATCATGTTTGCCCCCCACAATTAGGAAATGACTCTCACTGATTGAGCAATTAGCAAGGGCAAATTGATAGCATGAGATCTGCAAACCAATCTGCATATGAAATGCGTGTCCCTTTAAATCTGTCACTGACTGTCAATCACAAGGACAGCCCATAATAGCCACCTCTTTCTGAGTGAATCCTCAGAATCTAATCAAGGTGGTTTCTGATAATTAAGTCTCACTGATGACATTAACTAATAACATAGTTTGTATGACACCTCATACTAAACATGAATCATGCCATTTACTTGACAAAAACATTAACTGAGCAGCGAATTTCTGCAAACAGTTAAGGAGAATAAGTTGGTCTTTGTGAAGAGGGGGCATCTACTCCCAACAAGAAAATGCTTAGTAAGAAGAGGACATCTAAAACTTTCTAAGAGTCTGTCTGTGAGTGTCTGTAGTTCCCATGTGCCGTGATTGACAGGCATTGGCTCACTGATCCTGTAGGCACCTTGTGAAGCAGCTACTGTTAGTAGCCTTGTTTTGGAATGAGAAAGTTGAAGAACTGAGGCAGTAGGGGACATGAAGGCCACAGAATCTTCCAAGTATCAGAGTCAGACTTTGAAGCCACCTCTTCCTCCCCCTTCTTATCTGTATTCCAGTTCTGTGGATTCCTCAGCCTGGGTCCCTGAATGACAGAAGGAGGCTAGGAACTATCTCCTTAATTTCCTCCCAATGAACTCATGTTCTCTCTCTACTGCCAGCAGCCTGGCTCTGACCCCATCACCTAACAGACCTCACAGTCAGTGAGGCCTCTCCATAATGCAAACCTGGACTGTCATTTTTTCTTGCTAAAATGTTGTCACTCTCTGTTGACATTCAAGACCCTTTGGATAGGAACTGAACCTCACTGTGGTCTCTCAGAGGTCACAGAGGAAGCACTAGAACTCAGTTTTGCAGACAGCCTGTGGTCATCCACTCACCTATGGGAAGCTGTTGTCAGGGCGTTCTCATCATCCTCAGGTGTTTAGGACCATTTTACAACACGTACAGAGCTCTGGTTCCTGAATATTCCTGAAATTTGGTCCTTAATGTCCCAGTCTCTGGTCTGTCTTCCCATTAGCTTTTCCTTCTCACAACTGTGGAATCCTGTCTGTGGGTCCACTCTCTTCTCTGTAGCTGGAGTTTTCTCTGGTCCTGACCAGCCCTGCAGTTGGGATGAATCTCTCCCACCCACGTCCTGCAGGCACTTGGTCCCAAGTAAACACACAGAGGCTTATTACATAAAACACTGTATGGCCTATGGCTCAGGAGTCTCACTATCTAGCTCTTAAACTTAACTCATTTCTATTAATCCATATGTTGCCACATGGTCACGGAGTTACCAGTCTGTGGGCACCTTGTTGCCCCTTGGGTGGTGGCTGGCACCCCCCCCAACCCACTCCATCCTTCATCTTGTCTTCAGTTCAAATGTGCCACCTAACCTTATTCTGCCCTGCCATAGGCCGATGCAGCTTTATTTATCAACCAATCAGAACAACACACATTCACAGCATACAGAGCACTTTCCCTCTACTGTCTATTCAAAAAGGAAGGTTTTAACTTTAATATAGTAAGATAACATATAATAGAACAGTTATCAAGCAAGAATTACAGTTATAATTGTTGGTTTTTGTGGCGCTCTTACCCTGTGAGGAAAAGTCACAAAACACGACAGAATCCACTAACAAGAGTTTTGTTAAGATAAGGGAGAGGGACAGATGTGTACAGGCCTGCGGAAAGACACATGAGTGAAGGGGGACCAGCTTATAAAGGCTGGGCCACGCCTGCGCACACAGGCCCATGTGGCTATTCCACGCATGTGTGTAGATCACATGGTTTCGCTGCACACTTTACACAACCACACAAAGCCATGGGGTCCTGGTCATGGGAGACATTTTAACCTGGAATTGACTAGGCGGAAGTGACTAGGTCCCACTGGGCATGCGCGATCATGCCCAACTGTGGGGGCATGTTGTGAATCCATATCAATAATATCTAGTCTGTTTGTATTTGGCAAAATAAAAAAAATATTCTATGATCTATCCTATATTTGTGAATCTAAAGTTTCACATTTAATTTATCTTTTATCATAACCAAGGAAAATAATAACTATCTAGTCTTTAACTCCATCAAAGACCCCAGAAGTAAATAGGAAGTGCATTGCAAGCAACTTACACAATTCTAGAAATGACAGAGACATTTGGCTGCCTGGACAGTCACCCAAAGTTCCTCTGTAATGGGACTTCTATCTTCAGCCTACAGGCCTAGAGTCTCTGACAGACTTTTCAGTGAAGTAGGAAACTTGAACCATGTCTTGTCTCTTGGCAAAGTTCATCAGTCACTTCTCCCTGTGTCCTGCAAAATGTCTGGCAGTCTCCTCTGTGAAACAGGAAACTTAAGGACCATCTTACCCTGTTTTGGCAAAGTTCAGTGGTCATTTTCCCACAGGTCCTGCATGTCCAGTTTATACAACATACTGTCAAGCAGTCCAGGCAAGAGCAGTTTCTTGCCCAAATGACTAACTTTTGACATAAAGAAAGCAAACTCCATAAGGAGTTTCTTTGATACCCATCATCATTTCTGAAGTAATTGGTGCTGCCAGGAGCAGATGTGTCTCATTGTCCAGAAAAGTCCAAGTTCTTAAAACGTTTTAAATGCCATATTCTATAAGTCTTTGAAGTGTTTGAAGATTATCTACCTAATTGAAATATATCTATGTATACCTAGAAAACTTAACTAACATAACTAAAAGTTTGATTATCATAGATAACTAGTTGTTAATCTGTATTTCTTAATTATACATTATAATTTTAAATGAATTGCATAAACATACTACCTTAAACAAGAGTAGAAATATATACAGTATAACAAGATTAACTTTAAATTTGTGTCAATAAACTAAAATCCATAGCAATGCAAAACATTTTAAACAAGTTGTTGCTCTTTAAAAGCAGATTCAATAACCTACCCTTTTATCCTGTCATATCTGTATCATATCCCCTTTTCTTCTTTAGCAAGAGACTGCATTTATAATCAACCTCCTTTAAATAAAAATAAACATTTATAAGCAATATTTTGGGAATTTGGGCATAGCTTCTTATACTATTTCCTGCTGGTTGTGGGCACTGGCAATCTTATGGGGATCTTGAAAAAATTAAGAATTATAGCTAAATCTTGGCTGTAGTAGTCTGTGAGGCTATATCAAACCTTTCAGGGGGTCTTGGTTGATCAAACCATATTAGCGTGGAAGCAATCCACAGGTTCTCATCTTCTGTGGAAACAAAAGCAGAACCTCTTTTCCAAAGCAATGTATCCTTAGACACAAAGTTTGAAGTCAAGATACCTTTAAAATATATATATATATATATATATATATATATATATATATATATGTATATGTATATATTGGTTTTACTCAGCAGCCTTTACAATCAAATGTCTCTCTCCAGTTAAAAAATCCCAAAGACAACACAATCCAGACTCTCTGTGTCATTCCCATCTTTACATGGCTTAAAGATTATATTACTTTTACTGTCTCTTTAAAGACTATTTTTTAAAACTATCCATTTCTTTATATAACTGTATATATTACTTTTCCTCTCTCTTCCAAGCCTATGCACATTTTTACACACACTGTAAGTTTTACTCCATCTGAATCTGTCTTATTGTGAATCTATAATCCTTCTCTGACCAGGAGAGATTTTAAACTGCTAAGCTGTGTGTCTAGGACCAATGTGGCAGCCTTGGCTGCTGACCCTACCCACCTCAGCTTTCCAACATGGCGGAGGTATGCTTACCACCAACTCTGGGAAGCAGTGGGTCTATGCCTCCAACAAGCAGCATGAAGTCCAGAATTTTTTTTTTTTTGTCTGTACTAGCAAAAGCTAAATCTGCCACACAGCATGCTGCATGGCTTGGAAACACCTCTGTGTACCAA